TATTGTGGCCAAGTAAATGGTTAAAGAAATAATAAAACAAGTGTTACAGATATATCATATATTAAACAGTAAGTACAACAGTAGAGTATTACCCGACTAGTTAGTGTGTGTCGGGTGACCCAGCGTTCAATCTATTCGACTGTTACCCAAGGTCTTCTCTCTTACTCATCTGAACCACGAGTGGTTTCTTTTTTGTTGTCTTGCCATCAAGGCTACAGCCACAAGTTTTTTCGTTGTTTTTAACTAAGTTTAAGGCAGGAATAATAAATTTTCTACCAGATTTGACATAGATTTTGAGTCATTGTCTTTTTTTGTAAGGGTCTGCTGACGTTCCAGCCTATTTTGAAACTTATTCTTGAATCCAAAATCTTAATATAATGTTTATTCTTCCTGATACAATTCCTTTTAATCAGGTTACCAATCTCATTAGCTGAAAAAAAGATCCCCACTGGGAAATCCACTACCATCATATTTTATTGTTATGAGTGTTTATTTTTAGTTAAGATTCCACAAAACAAGTACAGCTTTTCGGCCACTGGAATGTTTTTCGTTTCATTTGACCAAAGAATCAATAACTAAAGAATTACAAAGATGATGCTTAACAAAATTCCTAACTAAAAATACTTGATGAGAAATATAGTGTGTCTGTTAATGCTGTTGAGTCATAATCTCTAGAAGAGAGAGAAACAGACAGACAGATTACTTGTCGAGGGTCTCTTAAGTTTTTCTCACTTGAACTGAACATGAAACGAGAGTCAGTGGAACTTGCTCCTGGACATTACGGACGTTTGACTCTTAACAAAGCCTAAAAATAATATCATCTCCTGACTTAGACGATAAATGCTATCGCCCCATTTACTTCAAGTCTATGATACAAAACCTACACGAAGGCAATGCATCGAATGATTATAGCTATGTTGTTTGGATGCATGAGCGATACTCGGTAAATAAAAGGTTAGTATATCTCAAGCCAACATTAAGTCATGATACATCGAAATATATATTTTTCTTAACTGTCTTTTATTTGTGTTTTCTTTTGTATTTCCTTATAAAACAGATACGAATTCAAATTCAGTTTGCCAAAAGCTTAAGCAAAAGTAGCGAAATACTTTTATATAGAACATGGTTCACAAAACTTTTGGGGATGTCACAACCTTGTGTAATAAATCCGAACGACCCTCACCAGAAATGGATTTTCTTGGTGTTAGTATTGCAAGTAAGTGTCTTAGTATTTCACATGATACTTATATACTCGTATATAAACCGATTTCAGGTATAGTTTGATCCCAGAACATACTTTCATGAATTTTCACACCTTCCCGTATAGTGCAAACGATCCCTGAAAATACATGATTTTTAACCTCTTCAAGAAATACACCGACTATACAAAAACCTCTTCATCGACTATACAAAAATCATGGCCCAAGTTGGACAGACCATGGTCCAGAATTCATGCGGACTACGCAGGACCCATAGAAGGTTACTACTATATAATAACGTTAGATAGCTTTAGTAAGCGGCCAGAAGTCTTCAGATTTAAAAACACGACAACAGAAAATACTATAAATTTTCTGCATGAATTATTCGCGAAATTTGGCGTCGTGGACTGCTTAGTAACTGATAATGGTACACAATTCACCTCAAATGACTTACAAGAATTCTGTGAGACTTACCAAGTAAAGCATATTAAGATAACTCCGTATCACCCACGGTAGAACGGGCAAGCTTTGTAGACACAAGATCTCACCCACATCAAGATTCTTTAGTGAGGCATTCTAGCAAATGGCGATTTAATTTTAGCTCACTAGTTGACATGCATCCTCTCGATTATCTCCCTTTCACTACCTCCTAGAAACGATTTTGCAATTACTTCTGCCTCACCTAAAATAAAAGGAACTATAAAAAAAAAAATTGTCCGTCATTGATGAAATCTTTGTAGCATTGGGGTGAGAAGAATCCGTCACGAAACACAAGATACTGATTCGCTAAGGCGACAATTTTTTACCATTGCCTATACATATTGCTATCTCATTACGTTTGGTACATTAGAATATATTATTCTATTGATCTCTACATATGGTAAGAACAATAAAAAAAAAACGATGTTGGGTATTTCGATTATTCAAAGAAAACTGAAGCTTTTCTACAAAGATTGACGGCAGGTTCATGCTTTTAGAAGCAAGATTTAAGGAGAAATTAAAAAGTGAATGTATATTACTGTTTTCTTAATGGCTATATTAAATAAATTAATCGTAAAACTTGTCTTTTATCAAAGCAATTTTAAAATAAAACACAAAGGAATTATTTTACTTTGATCCTTTTAGGAAATGTCTCTCAAAGACAACCGAGAAAAAACTGGAGATTCCAGGGGTGGGGTGGGTGTTAGCAAATATCTAAGAATCCCTGTTTGAAATGCGTCAAAAGATTTTAGGCAATTTGCAGAATAAAATGCTATTCGGAGAAAAATAATGGAATATGGAGTCCCCCTCTCCTAATAAATATATAGTTTATAGTAGATAATGTTCATATTTTGTTTCTTGTTTGTTTCTTGCCTTTTTGTTTCTAAATGTACAATTATTACACGCTGATTATTTTGGACTGTTTTGCCTTATTTTACTGCTTATAGACGTTTCGACTGTTTTAAATTCCACCCTTTGTCATGTCTCTGTTACATTTGGCAGCTTAAAAATTTCGAATCGAATTCTTTTGGCAATTCATAGACTATTTTGTTTTCATTTTCTGTAAGAATATCACGTACTAGTTTATTCTCGCTTCTGATTATTTCTTTATCTTTTCCACTGAACTAGATTACATGAATTTTACTGCTTCATCTAGAAACTGAATGGAAATATGAGAAACACTAGAGTGGTTGGCATTCAACAGATAGTGATTAGACGCATACAAAAGATAACCAGAACAGAACTTGGCTTTACTTTGAGTCTTTTTACACTAAAAAGTAGTGTAGAATTTAGTACTGTGTGAGGAGAGGTGCATTAAATATACAGTGATATCAATCATAGAACGACATCACAAATATTAATAATTAATAATAATAATAATAATAATAATAATAATAATAATAATAATGAACTGTGTTGTTTGTTTTCCCCTATAGAACAACAGGCAAAAGAAAAATCAGAACATTTTTTTTATATTCTGGATACAGTTAATAGCGTGACTGCACAGGAAAAATTAAATAAGCCAGTTGTTTAAAATAAATATTGTCTGACTTAACACCAGTTTCCACAAAATCGCTCACTCAACGATTTCTGTTTGATCCAGGAACTGAATTCACATTTAACGTCGCACTCGCTAATAACTACCAGGTTGTTATATGACAATCGGGTGATGAAAATTAGAAGCATTAAAACTAATGTCTGTTCATTTTTTTTTAATCAAACGCTCCCATATGGTATTCACTTCTATGCTAATTCTATTAATGATGTTTTTAAAGTCTAATAAGTGCGTGAATTCTTTCAGTGTCTCATGAGTTGCTGGTATACGACAAAAAGAAAATTTCATGAATAATTATAATAATAAGAGAAAATTCTAATTAATCTCTCAGCAATAAAAAATGATACTAATGGAAGAATAATAATAAGTTTAATTATTTCATGATGTAGGAAAATAAAAATAACGAAAGAAAAAAATATTCGAATCAAAAAAGTTCGAAAATGAAGATAAACATGGTTCTATCGTTAGAGGAACATTGATGACAATTGCAAAAAGACTAGCAAAATTGAATGGAAATACAAGAAACACTAGAGTGGTTGGCATTCAACTGATACTGATTGGATGCATACAAAAGATAACCAGTAATCGATTCAAACATAACTTGGCTTGTTTCTGAATCTTTTTACACTAAAAAGTACAGTGTAGAATTTGATACTGTGTGAGGAAAGGAGCATTAAAGATAGAAGTGATAACAATCATAGAACGACATCACAAATAATAATAAATAATGATTAATAATAATAATGAACTGTGTTGTTTGTTTTCTACTGTAAAACGACAGTCAAAAGAAAAAATCAGAACATTTTTTTTTATTCTGTATACAGTTAATAGCGTGACTGCACAGGAAAAATTAAATAAGCCAGTTGTTTAAAATATATATTGTCTGACTTAACACCAGTTTCCACAACATCGCTCACTCAACTATTTCTACATTCAACTTCTACTGAATGTAAAAGTTAATAGTAATTGGCTTTATATTAATTTTACAACGCTTTGATGACACTAACAAAATTCATTTATAAACTTCGTCATGATAGAGATAAAATGTTTGGTTATTAGACAAGACAATTCTATTTACAATAATTAATTAGTTTTAACATTGTCTCAAGCCTACATGCGAAGCTGAAACTGTAATTTAATCTTGTTTTTTATTACTTCTTTTTATAAAAGTTTGCTATTTCCATTCAATATTTAAATGATAATAATTCTTCATCGATCTCGTATCTGCAAATAAAATATTGACCAAACTGCTTTATCTATACATTTTTTGTGTTCAACGCACTTTCGAACAACTCCGCTATTATAAATACCTTACGACCGACTTCCTAATTTTCAGCTTGCTAAGTCAATTTAATTTATAAAGGATATGCTGCCAGTGTAATGGTTATCGGCGTATCAAATAAAATCGGCAACTTCAAATTCTGAGTTTGTTTGTTGCATTCCATTTCGCACAAACGCCCTTAAGAAAATCACGAAACAATCTCTTCAATCACGCAACTATGGGCAGATTGAATTATGTAGCCTTAGATGGCAGCCAGTCTAGTATAAGAACGAATCTGAATATCCCATATCGCTAACAGGGATTTTCATTCAAAACACAGATATGACGTTTGGATTGGAAACTCGAACGTTTCTGGAACTGGTTGAATATTTAAGTTAATTATTTGTAGTCAATTAAATGGCTGCAATCAACATTTTATCTTAATAAAATATCAAATCACCGGATAAAACTGAAAATTTGAAATTGTCTTGGCTTAATTTCACTTTAATACACCGGTTCTCGTACGATCACCGAAGTTAAGCAATGTCAACTCTAGTCAGTACGTTGATGGAGGCTCGCTTGGTAATACCAGGTGCTGTAAGCTTGGATATCTGGTTGGTGTTATAGATAATGGTTCGAAATTAGAAATTGGAGATTCGAGTTCTAATTCCACTCGATCTCGTTATATTCCCTTGCACACAAATACTCTTGGGAAAGATAAGAATCCACCTGTTTTCCTCGCATCTATGTGTAAATTAGTAGTTTTTGTATCAGTAAATCAGTATTGTCTCCCAAAGATTCTTACACTCTAAAAATATTTTCAGGCTTAAAATAATCTGCAAAAGGTTGATAAACTGTAAAAAAACAAGCCAGTCAATCAAAATCTGCAATTCATATCAACAGGTATTTTTTTTTAATTCAACTCCCAGATTCCACTTCACACGCCGATAACACGGAATGATATTTTCTTTATCAAGACTTTGAATGTGTTATTATTAACACATAATATAATAATTCTAACATAATAGCATAATTATTTGCACGGCCCGTCACTGTTTACAAAAAAACAAAACAAAACAAAAACACAGGGGTGTCTACTTACACAGGCGTATTCACTAAATATAGCGTTCATAGTAAATAATGTCGGATTAATTAACGGATTTTTATTCATTAATTACATAAAATCTTATATAAGTTGTAATATCGATTATATTTCTCAGCGAGAGCAATTTCTAGTATGAAATAATTTAATTCCTTAAACTCTGCATTTCGATGTGGAATAATAGTAACCAATAATTTCTATATCAATAGAATCATATGTAAAACAAGCTAAATGAATAATAATTTCATATACATTTATAGAGAAGAAATGTACCAGGTGAACCTCAAAATCAGTGACCTGTACTCCATTTATAGAAATAACAAACACAAAGGAACTTGGTTTAACAATAATCTAATTTGCCTTTTCGTTTGACTGTCATCATTAACGACCATTTTTTCTCTATTGCAGGTGAGAAAACAGCCATCAATATAAACAGAGCAACTTCAAAGGGAAAAATAAATTGGTGGCAATCTCGCATTGATTAATGTCAACTCATATTAAATCTTCTATCACGGATTTGTCAGTATTATCGGATCAAAAGAACATTAAGACAGTGTTTACTCTAACTGTTTTTATCCCCTGACACCTACCTGGTTTATATTGCAACGGACTCGGGTATCATGGACAAAGTTATGTATAATGTTTCCACGGAAAGCCAACCCATTTTCACGCAATCCCAATTTATTGTGAAAGATAGAGGAGTTCCGGTCCAATCAGCCACAGCAAATATGTACTTGGCCCCGGGAGTCAGTAATGAAAGCTCCAAATTGTCAGAGATCCAAGTCGACGATGATGAAATTTCGCAGCATGACGTCTTCATTGTTCTCGCTCTTAACGCCATTACAATGTTTGTCGGATTGCTTTTAGTATTGATAATATATATGATCGTACTGAATTGTCGAAGTGACCGGCGCAATGCGACAAATAATGTGGAATCCTTGGATGCATCCAGGCGCCATCCACCAGCCTCCCAGTGTACGCCATCATCTTACTTATCCACGGGTTTTGAGCTCACGCCTTTATCGATGGAGAATAATCTTGGGGGTGTCAGTACGTTTAGGAGTCCAAAAAGAAGTCCATATTGCAATATTAATGTGCCCAGTCCTAGTAAAAGTTCTGAAATGTTACAAACGGCAACATTAAGCACTGTACAAGATCGGGTAGGTTTTTTTATACATTGAAATATTTTTTTGTATTTTGATCTTGTTTTTGTTATGTTTTTTTTTTAATTATTGAACGGAGTAAGGTGTAACCATGTAAAGTCATGAAGTCTTACATGTATTGTAATTATCAATCTATTTCCTCTATCAATTATATCCGCAAGTATATTGTATCACAAATTACTACAATGATCCAATCCGTTTTGTTTATGAGCGCTTATATATATATATATATATATATATATATATATATATATATATATATATATATATATATATATATATATATATATATATATATATATATATATATATATATATATGTGTGTGTGTGTATGTATGTATGTATACCTACATATTGATCAAATATTATCTTTATTCCATGAATTATTTAAACTTGTGCCCCCATCTTTATAGTTTTGATTGTGTTTCGTCCGATTCATTCTTCAACCGCTAATCCTTTTTGGAGCAGAACTACAATGCTCCGATAAAAAAGAAATAAGTCTTTATATTGTCATTAAAAAATAGTGAAGATGAAATGCAAATGAGGAATTTTTCCTTTTTACCTACGGGAATGGATGTGAACATAGCGTCCTTGTTATCGAAATTAAAGTCGGGTCACATGACGATCCCACCTCTGAGGAGAGAAAATTGCTGCGTTCATTTTCACACAAATACTATTTGGGAAAGTCATGAATCATTTTCTACTTGAATAACAGGGTAGACCTCTCTAACTTTGGTTTGGCAATCAGTGTAATATATCAATAATATTGATTTCAAAAGCAGTTAGATCTGTGGCTGGTAACTCCACCCAGTAAAATGTCCATTTCTTACGGAAACCACAGCAGCAATACTGCCGTAGTGAGGCTATGATTTCTATGACTATCTGATCCACAGTTAAAACAACATCGTTGTTAAGAGTTACATTATTCTTCTAAAATTTTAAAGGTGCTTTCTTCTAGGCAAGAACTCATCTAAAATCATTTTGAAGAAATCTTATTTGTTCTTTGAATTATGAATCATTTAAAAGGAAATCGATTATTTTTATGATGAATATGTAAAGAAAAAAACTCAATAAATATTTTGATGTTTCTATGGTTGCCAATCAATTGGCATTTCTATTTTATATTCAAGGATTATTATGTAGGAAATACATCTGATGCAACTGAAAGGTGCATCAGGAAATAAATTTATCAAAAGAGTAAATTAAAATAAAATAATAGTCGGAAAAATTACAGAACACAGACACGCACACACACTCTCTCTCTCTCTCTCTCTTTGTCTCTCTCTCTCTCTCTATATATATATATATATATATATATATATATAGTTTTGAACAGAATTGTTTCTCGGAAGAATTTGGCAAAAAAAAAAAAAATAATGTGATGTGGTATACCTAATTGCTTCCTCGGCTCTCATTTAGTGAGCAAAATACGTCAAGATCCGTTACGTGTCTCTTAAATAGATTTACATATTAAACAAAGAGAAGACAAAAATTTATTTGTAAAAGTTTGCTTTTACCCGCTCTTTCGTATGTCGATCTTTTAGAAATTTTGAACACAGACACACACACACTCTGAATTTACACGCATATTTATTGGAAAGCAAAGCGTTACTTTCACAAACCACCGCTTCATATACATAAAAATATGTAATATCACTATACATGATATAGTGTAACAGTTATCGACTAAGAGACGGTATTGATGTATGATCCAATAAGCATGAAACTTTTTATATTATCTTACCATTAATTCTATTGAGAAAGGTATCAACGAAATGTTCCCGTTGCTCTATCCTGTATCTCATCTATCTTGAGATTTCCCGTCAATTGTCCTCCACAACAGATAATCAAATGAGTGATTATAGGGATTATGAAGTAGTATCTAAAGACAGGTAGAAATGATAATCCAATGATTATATATGATGGATGAGCGAAAAAATTACCAACCCAGCTTTAAGAATTTTTGCTTGGCCACAAAAGAAACATACAGTCTACTACAGTATTTCTGAAATGGTGTTCCCCGGGACACTAGTGTTCAGCAAGTAACAGTGATAAATAGGCTAATGAATTTCCGAGTAAGTTTTTACTTAATTTTATATTCGTAAATTTATTATATATGTATAGCATACTGTTGGAAAACCCTTGGTTATTATAATAAAGGTTCAACCTGTTATATTATTTAAAATTATAATGATCCCAGGGAATGTATTTAGCGATTTCTATATGTGAAACCGGAATGTCAGTGTGAAACCGCCTTCATTGGTTATTGGACACAACATAAATGTGGCGAATTTGTGTCTCAGTGAGTGACACAATCGAGTACAAGACGCATGCACGTTGTCCATGTATTATGTTTACCATATGAACTATGATAAGAATATAAGAGATAAATATCTATAATGATATGATATAACTTTTATGCGATAGTCACTTGAGACATATTTGGCATACGCGTATTACAAGTACAAAACGCAAAGGAAGCCCTGTGTCGCGGATGGACATGTTTGTCGAAGACAGTCATATAAGAGTTTTTCCGTTAGCAACAGAAGAGCTTAGCATACTCAGATACAGGCCTATCTTCTCCAGATCCGGGTTTTTGTCAACCGTCTTATGCCAATAAAAGCGACGGGGAATGTCGGTAGTCTGCTTTTGGGGAGACTCGCTTTGTAACCGTTGGAGATTCGAAGTCTTGTAAAGTGGGTCACTTCGTGAAGTTTCTTCCGGAAGTTACGTACCACCCGAAGTGCTGTGGTTCTTGAGGCAGTAGCCTCAATCGGTATTATTCACTTCTTTATTTCTTCCCTTGTCTACCTGTTCCCCACTTAATTGTTAACAGAATAATCTGTTACCTGTTAAGTGTTTCTCGCATCCTCAACACATTACCTTATTTTTCTATAACATGAAAACTATTTCAAGAATTCCACAAGAGTAAAAATGTTGACAGATTCTGGTCTATTTATGCTGTTTGAATATTAATTCTGGATATTTCTCGTCGAGGTTTAGGGTTAAGGATTAGTCTCAGTTAGGTTCCATTGATCTAACCGTGAAGACTATTTAATCAATAGTTTGGATCCCCGGGAAAAGCTAATCCTCTTCTTATCAATGCAATCATAAATGCAGCTTCACTTTGTTTAGATGAAAACCCATCTTTTGTATAGTTTATTTTCACTTCCTACCAAAATTTATTTAAAAATGGAACATTTTCTTTAGCATTATCTAACGAATTAAACACTGTCGAATATTTTGTTTATGGTTATATAGAAGCCACCCATCAAAGCTGTTACCATAACCAAACTTTTTCAACGATTTTTTTTCTAAAATGCTTGATTTGAATAT